ACAGCACCCTCACACACACACTGCACCCCTGACACTCACAGCACACACACACACACTGCACCCCTGACACTCACACACACACTGCACTCCTGACACTCACAGCACACACACACACTGCACCCCTGACACTCACACCCACACCCACACACTGCACCCCTGACACTCACAGCACCCTCACTCACACACACACTGCACCCCTGAGACTCACAGCACACACACACTGCACCCACACACACACATACACACACACACTGCACCCCTGACATGCACAGCACCCTCACTCACACACACTGCACCCCTGACACAGCACACACACACACTCACATCACCCTCACTCACACACACACACTGCACACCTAACACTTACAGAACCCTCACACACACACACTGCACCCCTGAGACTCACAGCACACACACACTGCACCGCTGACACTCACAGCACACACACACACACACACACTGCACCCCTGACATGAACAGCACCCTCACTCACACACACTGCACCCCTGACACAGCACACACACACACACACACTCACATCACCCTCACTCACACACACACACTGCACACCTAACACTTATAGCACCCTCACACACACACACACAGACACTGCACCCCTAACACTTACAGCACCCACACACTGCACCCCTGACATGCACAGCACACACCCTATCTGGCCCCGCCCCCTTTGTAGTGGGCCGCTGTAATTAAAAAATGCCCGGGCCGAATTATCTTCCCAGTCCGGCCCTGACGGAGGAGAAATAGTTATTTAAAATTCCTGCCTTTTCCTGGTCTTCCTTAACTAACACCCCCGCTGTGATGCGGGCGGCTTCTCATCCGAGGCAGCTAGGGAGCTGTCATCTCTCTGCTCTGCTCCCTTGCAGGCTGTCTACTGGTGCTGGGAGCCGAAATATGATGTCGTATTCTGGCTCCCACGGAATCAGTAAACGGCGCGCGCGAGGGAGCAGAGCAGAGAGATCACAGCTCCCTCGTCGCCTCAGATGGGAAGCCGCCCGCTGGAGGGAGGGGGTGTGTCTCTATTAGCTGGCTAGCAGGTCAGCTCTGGCCCTCCCCCCATGACGGGAATCACACGGTAGGCAGCATTTTTTTTGCCGCCCCCTAAATAGTGCCGCCCAAGGCAAATGCCTAGTTTGCCTTGGGCTAAATACACCTTTGGTTGGCACACCACCCAATGTTTCAAATGAACAAAGACGACTATTTAGTTTTAGGGGTGTGGTAGGAGATGGGCGGTTCTGAGAAACTTTAGATGACTTACGAATAACAAATTATTCAACTAAAATGTAATTTAGAAGAACAATGTGAGTTTGTTAAACTGATTTCTAAACACATTGTAGTTTAAAGACTCATTACTGGGGGTATTATTGTGGTATACACTCAAACACAGAAACAACACTGAACTGCTGAAAAGAAGGACATTAGGATAGAAAAGCAGGATTTGAGCCCAAAATAGTGGCTTTCCCTCTTTAGTAAGGACTAGGGATCGACCGATTATAGATTTAAAAAAAAATTTTTTTTTTTTAAATTTTTTTTTTTTTTAGAGCCGATACTGATACAGATCGTGGCAGAAATGCCTCTGCCACGTGTTCCTGGAGGGGCCTGCTGGCTAGCCTCCTGCCCAAAGACTATGGGCCCTGCAAACAGACATATTAAAAAGTGACTTCCATGGAAAAACCATACCACTGAACCGATCTGGGTGATTTTTGGATATGTTGTGTGACAGATCCCTCTGTATAGACTAAGATTGCTAGATTAGTCTGTTTTGCCTTTTTCACGAAATTACCCGTTCGTATGCCTTTGTTCAAGTGAATTGACTTTTCTGCCGAACGGACGGCCACCCAGAAGGGAAGTGTGCTGCTGGTTAACCTCTTGATCCCAATTAGAACGTTGCGGTTAACCAGACACTTCTCAATTAAAACCGGATACAGGGTGGTCATCGTTCGTATGTCGACCACGAGGCGGCGGCCATTTTAAACCATGCGAAAGACCAGCGGTGTTCAGCATTGATTTCATGGAACTGAAAACTGACACTTTTTTTCAACCGAACACCGCTGAAGCCGTCGACCTCCCTTCTCAAGCGACAGAAGTGTGCGAACACCAGCCGTTCGGGAGGTTTAAATGCACGAATGGACTTACCCCAGATAGCCTTCCCATGGA